TGTAGGTGCTTCCTTCATTTCGTTGTAAGGATCTCAACCAACTGAGCACTCTTTAAAAGGCCGAATTCGTACGGTGAACGGTATTTCGAGGACCAATGGAACCCCTGTTTCGATCAGGAACCGTCCTGCACGTTCTGAGCTGGGAATCTATTACCGCTTTCCACTAGAGATATGGATCGAGTGTAAATCAAACCAATCCTCACATTCTTTGTATAGTACTTTCTAGCATTAGTTATCAATCTATTTTTCTCATTTTTTCACCTAATGCGAAGGTCCTGAACGATTGAGAAGTTTTGTAAAGCAAAGTGTGTGAATTTTTTTGGAATGTCTCCAAATTTGTGGACTAATTCTGCTGAGCCTCTCCAAAATAACGACTCGAATCGGCTTTTTTGTCTGTATAAACTGCTCTGCACAAATCTCTGGATGTATCGGGGTTTTGTAGCATGGTTGAACTTTCCAGTAGATCGAGAGATAGATATAACTTTGATGACTAGCGTTGGTTGCGACGGACAACCATTAAAACCCTTCCTTTCTACCCGACTAAAGATCTCCGCAGCTCCACTGTAGTTTAAGACGGGTTGAACCCAAATTCTCTGGCGAACATCTTCTGAACCACGAAGTTTGACCAAAAGTTTCTTTAAACTTTAACGGAGTTCAAACTTTTACTTCCAAGTAAACACTTTTCAACGGAACCGACCTTTTGCACGGTTTTGCAGAGATATTGCTCTTGTTTCACTGTAAGAAAAAAACAGTAAAAACAAAAAACAGTAAAACAAAAACAGATAGTCAGATTCCAGTTATTGTCCGGACCTTTCTAAAAGTATGCAGCTAATTAATGATAGACTCGTCTTAGGTAGTAATCCCATTCAGTGCCGAGCTAATGAACGTTGTAAAGAAACGGCTAAGATCACCTCAGAGAACTGCATTCTAGACGAAAACCTCGTTCAGAGGAAATGGATCGAGTTCGTCGAGGCCTCTTCGAATTAGTACGACTGGCTTTCTTCTAGCCCACAGAGTGATATTGCTTTGTTGTTCGGCCCTTCCATTATGTGCGAACACCCAATTTCTTCTAATGTTGTTTTTTCCAGTCTGGAACGAACTGGCAGTCTGTTTGTTGGGAAGTAGGCTTCGCAGATGTTTATTACGCGTTTTCTGCTGGGTTTCTTTGCGGCTGATAACTGTGGAGACTTTTTTTCCGGTGAAACTGGGGCGATTAGCTTCGTTGAGAATCGAATAAGAATAATCGCAACACTTATAAGGAAAACTTTTTGTGAAAAGGGTTCTTCAGCGGAAAACACTTCGTCGTGAGTGATTTATTCCGTCGTAAACGCTTTCGTCCTTGTATTTGTGTCTTCTTTCCGGAATTTCGTAATTTTACAAAATGTTCTGTATGACCTTATATTTTTAAAGACATTTTGCATGACCCAGTTTGTACATCGCCGAATACAAGCGCTCATTTTGGACAATTCTTGGCGCAACGAGGTTGTCTTAAGGCCGTACGGTCTTTTACCCTGCACTCTAACTCAACTAGAGATAAGGGATGAAGTCTCTGGCGTCAACCAACCCCGATTTTGGAATGCCTTCACACCTTCCCTCATTCGACTGCCATTCAAAATCGCAGTGGCGTAGGCGGCCAAGCGGTAGGCGGCCAAGCGGTAGCCAGCCGATGTACAAGTCAGCTCTCTTGTCCTCCTAGACGAGTCTGACGCCAAATAACCGTCCCTGGTGGAAGTAATGGTTGGACCAGTTAAGCCGGCTTTTGATCCGTGGACCATACATGCGTGGTGGTGCTCCACTTCTCAGTACACCACCTCCGCCCTTTTGCCTGTTACTGCATTTTATTACTTCTACACCTTTTGAAACTGGACAAACTCCTGCTCGTGTTATATTTCTTGGCAACCTTTCCAAATGTAGGAAAAACTCCGAGGGCCAATGAACATCCTTCCAATGCAAGATTTAGGACTACTATAGGTCAGTTCCAATTTATCGGCTCGGTGTTGGACTATTGAAGTAAGAGAGCATCGTTAGAGTATTCCTAACATATTCAGTAAGTGTTATTCGTTGCAAACCATTCTGTGATCTATGCTTCTTGGGGAAAAATGCTCAGCCAACATATGATTTCTACTGCATCGATGTTTGGGTTTAGCACTTATGAGAGTTGGGACTCCTACTGGTCTGGCCTAGTATGAAATGCCAACTTGGCTCTCGTGTAGGTAAACCTAAGCTAAGTCCTGCTTCTTGGTGAGATCGTATGACTGAAATTAGTATGTCTGAGAGGATGAAAACGCTGACGCTTAGTTCGCGAGGGCCATTGCATGGGCAAAATGCTCATTGCCACAGCCTTGAAAGCGCAGAAAAGAGAGCATACGGCATTTTAAATGGGGTTCACTAATGGCTCCGTCGTTATTCGATTAGGATTGCTGTTTTAGATTTGGAATAGGATTGACTTATTTCCAATATATTTTCAATGCTTAGTTGTCAACTGCATGTCCTTTTCTTTTCTGTTTGCTTCGCTAAAGATTGGTCATGACAGTAGTTGTGAGCTCTGCAAACCCTGCTCCTGAGAATGTTTTTCGTCAAGATGTGATTGTGGGCTAAAGTTGGTGGGGCATTTCAGTCCATGGCGATTTGTCGCCTTGTTTGTAAGTCGTGAATCTCACTGTAAAGGTATAGTAACCAGGATGATGTTCAAATAACTTGATGGTGATCGCATTTAGTAACAAAAAGTTATGGGTAATTGTTTGGTATCAGCTGGCTTCACCCAAGAGTAGGATCAAAGTTAGGTAGCTCCCTTTGAAAGATCTCGATTACTGTATGGCTCTCATACACATCGTCTAAAAAACACTTAGATTTTTCTAGGGGACTGTAACTTTCTGCTATAATTAACCTTGGCAGTCAAATAGCTGTACATCCTAGTTTCCTAATATTGGTAAGTGATGTTTTTTAGGGTAAATATTCTGGGAGATAAAGGACAATCGGTAGACTGGGGTCAAAGATTTAAATGTGGCTTAGAGGGAGACGCAAGACGACGCAGAATTCATCACTCGAAAGATATAGAATATCGCGGCTGACTCACCTATAAGGGGAGAGGTTTGCGGATGCGTGGCCTTCGTTATCGTTGCATTCATTGTGTTCACTGTAAGGAGCTGTCAGTCTACAGTTAACGTTGTCATCTTTCTTTTCTCTCTAACGAGAGGTTGGATATTTCCTAATATCGAGTAATTCAATTGCTAGGGTCTGAAATAAACGAAAATCAGCTGAGCCAGGTCTTTTCTCTTTATGAATATTATATTATCTCTTTATGAATATTATATAATAATCATTTTTTACTGTTAGTTTTAAAATTACCTGAAATCGAAGGAACTTTGGTTCCTTCTGTTCCATCGTCAGGAGGAAGCAACATTCGTAGTGTCGTTCTTCTTTGGATTCCTACGTGATTATAGTGAAAATAGGTGATCGGGTTAGATACATATAAAAGAATAAAGTGATGTTCTGGTCGGTTCCCCTCTAATTTCTGATAACTGCCAGTCGATTTGGGTTCCGCAGAAGTGTCGTAAATATATATGAGGACACTTCATCAACATGGGACGTACAACCGAGTTATTCCTCTAATCCTGCAGAACAAAGAGCTTCTNTCCCCTTGCTATAGATAATTGTGTTGAGCTCGTAATGGAGGCAAAGAAGTGTAATAGGTGAGACCGATATAGCAAGAACACGACAGATGATGGCATAGAAAAAGGAAGGTTGAGTGACAGTCACAGATAAATGGGCCTAAACAAAGAAAAAAGAAGTGCTGAAAAGGTCACTAAGTCTGAGAAAAGGTGAAAATGAGAGGGTTTGAAGAGAGTAGAAGTGTAAGGGGACCGAATGCAAGAAAATATGGTTATCACATAGTATTTAAAAGTTAAAATCGTCGGTTGTCGATAGAGTTTTGATTTGATTTTTCTTAAGCTCATTCATGAAGGTCGTGTTGACTGGCTGAAATTGGTTAATTCGAAGGATTCAACACAAAAAAATTCCAGAAACTTGTGGGGAACGAGCGAAAAATTATGGAAACGTGCAGAGGGAATGTAGGTCGTGCAAGGGCTTACACTGGTGCATGGTGGTGAATGCCGGTTCTTTATGATAATAAAAACCAACGTTGACAATTAAATATGCTGTGCGAAATGGTGGGCCAGATAAATCCACGCCGAACATTAGAATTGGCTGACTGACACATATGCATTTAAAGAACGTTCATAAAGTCTATCCAACCTCTTCCCATTACGCAACTGGGCCCCCATACATTTTAAAAAGCGTTTATGAATTCAATAGGGCCACGACACTCTGACCGTCAGAATTCTGTAACTTACTTTTTGCATACCCCTTGGTTTATTAACTGATTTCTTCGTTCTCCTTAACGGATCTGGTCTATCGTTCGTTCTCGAGATCTATGGTGATGATCCACGATTTCGTTTTTCTTTGTAATCCTCGTAACGCCCGCCCCATCGGTTACCTAACCCGCCCAAGTCGGTAAACTACCCTGTCCAAACATTGCATAGTCTTATTATATTATTTCAATTCTCAAACCCCTACCTTCATTACCATGGGCAACCTTTGCTGATGCTATCTTTATCTACCGGTAACTGTGCTGTAGAGACGGTATACCGTTTTCGATGATATCCTGATATCGCTAAGCTAAATGGATGTAAATGTATTTATCGATATCGATTAATTAGTAACTATTGTGACGTTGGCGAATTGACGTCGAGATGGTAGTCCATGACAGCCTGTGTTATGTAATTTGATAACCACTTAACCCTGCTCGATGCTCTCAAAATGCTAATGAAACTGACCTCAATGCGATATCTAAGCTCAGATAATCCCTCTGGTTGTAGTTCTACTCGAGTCAATGTCCTTTTTAACCGCTACCAATTTTTCATTTATTACAGTATCATTCTAGGGACGAGGAACTTCATCAAAACAACTCTGAGCCTCGTGCTAATCGGTCGGTGCTGGCTATGGGCACGTCACTGTCGACACCGTCTCCGGTCAAAGCATTGATTGGGCAATTCGATCGGCTTCAATTATGTAGCAAAGAAAAGAAAAACGTCGACGACGAGACACCAGAACCCAGCAAAGCTCCTGTGGTTACTCAACCGGTTAGTTATGTTTTTTATCAGTATTAGCTGGATTGGTCATAGATTCATTTGATTACTCAAATGCAGCTGCTGAAAGTAACCAGCTTTGAGCAATATTTCTAACTCTTACGTGAGAGCCGTGATATCAATTGGAAACGTAGAATGCGGCATTCATCTTCACTGACCTGAATACTAATGGCTGGTCGCGAAAGCTTCCGAAGGAATCCCACTATGCCGGCTTTCTGTCTACTGCATTGTTCTTCAGTCTTGGGCATCCCCTTGTCTATTATCTCTGCTCATTTTTTCCCAGGAACTGCCGGCGGGGTGGGAGAATTCCTTGATCTAGCCCATGCACGCAGGAACTGTATACATACTTGCTGAACTCTGAGTATGCGCCCCTTCTCCTACAAAAACGTGGGTTTTCAAAGGGTTGTTTCCATTGGTGAAGTTTGCGCAGCTTACGTCTCCCTCTATAGGTTCATCACTTTATTTTGGGTGTAGATTTAAGGTAGAAAGTAAATGAATATAGATAAGAAGCACGGAGGACAAAGTTTTCGGGTGTTAATCCATTCCATCTGAGGGATGCGCCCCGCATTCGAATTTCGAATCCTACTGGCGTATTGAATGTGTTCCTGACCTACAGAATGATTTATAGTTTCCAGCCTGTCAACAAGTTGGAGTTTTTATCTTTTCGAATGCCTGACACCAATTAACCGACCCGGGGGAATTGAAGGCTAGGTAGGGACGAATATCGTTCGGAATTGAGCCAATGTCCTTGCATGGATGATAGAGCGCCACTTGCAATTGTACCACCTTCACCCAAAATATAAATATAGAATCATATAAAACGACTGATGCATTTCTCTCCCAGACATCATCCGTAATGGAACCGATGAATGTAAGTACTGCAACGCCAGCTTCAATGGAGGTATCGACGACGTCTGAAATTAATCACGAACCATCTAAGGTAGGTCAGACCCCAATCATTCCATGATTTTCGAACTTTTCCTTGATGACGAATTCAACTCAACGTGTCACAAAGATCTGCTTTCATATTGCTCTTCCGCTTCAGGAGGTGGAACCCTCCAACGATGTTCCCAAAGAAAACCACGTGAATCTGGCTTCCACAGCAAAAAAGTCTGGAGGTTTGTGATCGCGTCTCCTTTTGCTTGTTCACTTGAATTTTGGATAAGCTTTTAAAGTATTTTTGGAAAGAAAAGTATATCTGAGCATCATTTTTGAGGTATAGAATCGTTTTTAATAAAATTCGAAAACTTGTGGTTAGGAGGACTTCACCAGCTGTCCCCTCGTGGCTCTTCGATGTTGAATAGAACCTTTTTGCATTTCCACTCGGAAATCTATTAGTGGCATTGGTGGGAGTGTCCAGTGAATGACACTCACCATCAGGGTACAAGGTGCGGTCAGTCAACTGTCAGTTTCGGATTTCGTAGTGTATTTGTTTTGGATCGGCTTTCGCAGCTAGCCACGGTATCTTTCAAGGATTTCAGGGGAGAACATAGAATAAAAGGTTGGATCTAGTGATGGTGGGTCGAGGAACTTTCTGGGGAAGAGAAAATGCTATCGATATGAGAACTTACAGAAATTGAAAAGATCTGTTTACACTATTTGCAGATTTAGGCTCTGGTTATTAGTGCTGGGCGAAACCAGTCTTAATAGGTCAAAAGGCAACATGCTGTCAGCCTTTTATCTCTTGTCCTATTTGTACATCTAGAATAATTGTCAACAGATTTAATGAATAGCAGCGCAGTGATGAGCGAAAGCGTTGACAAAATCAGTTGGCTGTCAGCGAGCTGTGGTTCCCACGTATGACAGAAATTGATGACTTTTCATAGAAATAATGATGAGTTTCTGATGGAATGAATCCATCAAGGGGGAGGTGTTGCAGTGGCAAGTGGCACAATATTCCACGCTCATAGTCCGGGGATCAAATCCCGGATCTTCTCCTGCGACCTAGTGAAACCATGAAACCTTCGGGTCGATTAAATGGTACAGAACTCGTTTGAGGTGATAAAAACACTGGCATGTACGCCTGCTGGCCACCTCAAGTCATTGTTCAGGCCACATACGCATTCAAAACGCTACCACAATTCCGAGTGGTAGGGGGGGGGGGGGGGGGGGGGGGGNGGGGGGGGGAGAGGGGGGTAATTAGATAGGGGGCGTAATCCATGGATTGGTTAACACCCAGAAACTGTCACACTTTATAATCATCTAAACTACACTGTCAGACTTTCGTTCTACCCTTTATGAAGAATGTGTAGCAGCAGAACGTTGGGGGCTGAATATTTGCCTGGTTGTGTTTTGTTATTCGGCAGTGTTATCAACCGTTATCAAGTCCGATGATTAACGAAAGGAACATATTTGGCTCCTTTTTGTTTGCTGATTGCCACCGATTTTCTGGAATTCTGTTTCAGATATGCGAACGGGCGAAGATTTTGTGGTGCTTCTCGAATCTGTTCGATCGAGACTGGAAGCATCTATCAAGCAGGCGTTGTCTGAACTTGAAGAGGTAACAGTCATCCTTATCCATTTCATTCATATTAGACTTCATAGGCTTTATGTTTCAGTGGGAGATTTCTTTTGACAGGTTCAATATGTTCATTTGTGTAATTCCTAGATGAAGAGTAGACCCATGCCCAGGTTTCAAGAGTGGAAAAACATTATACAATATGCCCAGGTTTCAAGAAGACCGAACATGGAAGAGTAGACCCTTCTTTTTGTATATTTGCCACTGGTATATCTATAGTGATTCATCGTGCTTGGAAGATTCGAAAACCGGGCTGTATTTCTAGGTCATAACGATATGATTTACCCAACTTTTTCCAACTTGATTAGCATCATAGATTGATGTTATATTCGGTCAAATACCTAGAGCAATAACCTAGATATATCACACTCTGCCTCAATATATGAAACCGGATGTAAACGTCAGCTACTGATCGGTTGTGTACCCGTCCTAATTACACTACTTTACACATAAATCAGAAAAAAACTGTGCTGTTTTTTGAATCTGTACGTCGTTTGAGCCAGTCTATCATTTTCGGGGGCCAAACATTGCAGGAGTAATGTTCCCATTTTCCTATGCGAGTTAGGTAACGGACTGTCGCTCCGATTTATATCAACTCCGATTGACCCAGGAGTAATTTGATGCATTTCGTATATTCTGCTACCGACTCCACTCGTCAATACTTCACTTTCACCAGAGCTCTGGGGAACGACTGTTGAAATTTCGAATTTTTCGGGCCGTTTGTTCGCTAGCTTTCGTGAAGGGTCAATTGATCATATCTGAAGACCCCATCATAAACACCTGATGGGGTTGTCCTCAGCTCATACTTTTTTATCTCCATATTTGTAATCGAAGTCGAAATCCATAGCCCATCATTGAAGGGTTGGTAGAAGTGGTTATATTCCGTTATAGTACCACCTATTCTGTAGCATCACGTAAAAGACATCATCTTGTAATGACAAATTGCTTGAAATCCTTGGAACTTTTCCAGTATGCTCAAACTTCGATATTGCTTCTTTACTGGAAAGAAACGGAATCCTCATTAATTGCTACTTTTAATTGGCAACTAATTTTCAGGTTGAGTCCATGCCAGAGGAGGCAGGATCCTCGATAAGATTAGCTGCTGGGAAAGCACAGCTACTTGTCCGCAAAAAGCTATCCAAATTTGACGAATTGGTCAAGAAACATTTGGTGAGTGACCTACAACTCCCTTCTTCTCTTCTAAATTTTACTGCGAACTATAATCAACTACTTGATTCGTTTGATAAATTTAAAATCTTTTGTAGAATCCGGTCGAGGGAGATCTTCAGCCGGCTACGATAGATGATTTGGAAGGGTACTGGGCCCTAGTCGAAATCGAGCTTAATGATATTGACGAGTGCTTCCAAAAGGTTTGCCTCTATGCAACGTTTATTAAATTCCATTTGTAGTGCTTTTTCGATGTCGTTCATAAAAGTGCGATTTATCATACATTTATTAACTTCGTTCTGCTCTTTACTTCCTTCTTCCCATTACAAAGCCCTGATTGTGTGAAATTTTGTCGTTTGACCCAGCGCTCTCTTACTTGATGAAAGCGCCGTTCATGAGTTTCCTCTTGGACGTTCTATGAAATAAGTTAGTAAACGGCTTTTTCCCCCATCTCTTATCAGGAATATTGTCTTTCTAATATGTGAACGTTCGATGGTGTCGAATTAAATTCTCATTCAGGTGGATGAATGGCGTGCAAATGGGTGGCAGCTGAAGGAATCCGCTGAATCCCAAAATCCACCTACCGTAAATAGTAATATTAATAGTAATATCAATAATAATAATGTAGTGAAAAAGAGAATCGTGCCATCAAGACTTGCTACGACACCTGTCGATCCCGAAGTTCGAGCCAAGCAAGTCGAGAAACAGGTACGTTTTGGAAGTTTGTGAGTTGTATCATATTGAGGGCATCTTAAAATTTTTTTCGTAATGATACACCTGAAAGCTTTTATACAGTTCTATCTTTCTATTCAATAGCAATGGAATGTTTACCAGTTTTACTTGTAAATAAACATTACAAATTTACAGAAAGCCGCTGCCGAGCAGCGTCGAAAGGCTTTGGCAGAAGCGAAGCAGAAAGCGCGAGCTGCACAACAACAGGCTCAGACTACTTCAACGGAGAAGGACGTCAGTGCTCAGCCATGCTCAGATGTGCTGATGGTCCTGTAATTATAAGCAGCCCGCTTTTAAATATTATATTCGAAGATTTGTTTCATTTTCTTTGTGGTTTAGCGCTTCTTTTTGCATAATGTATAACACCGCTGTTCTTCACACAAATTGTTCCGTTCTTTTCCATCTGTACCTCGCTTTTGTTTCTCTACCTTGCGCTATTGCCTTTCTTTTATAATCTTTCCTAGAAACCGTGCTGACAAAATGTGCTTTACAAGAACGTGTTACTCGTTCAAATGACTGTCTTTGCCTATAGTCGTTTTCTTGGTAGTGATAGAAAACAGTTTTTTTCTTGGATTTCTTTCTTTTTTATCGCAGAGATCATATTGTTCTCATCTAATTTTCAGCGTATTCGTGTAAAGAGAAGTAGCTGTTATTCAATCGGTGAAAATTTGAATCCACTTTTTCCATTGCTCTTAGCAGTGTTCCTTGTTTGGAGAAGATATGTATTTTATACTTACTATGACATGGTCTTTGCTCAATTCTTGTTTATTTGTCGTCAAACTTTGTGTATAAATATTACACACCATTTCTACCACTTTTTTATCATTAAAATAATGCTAATAGGCATTCATACATCATCAAATATTTTTGTATTATGGCTCTTCTACAACAATAATTTGCGCGGTATTTCGTGAACTTATTTGGGTCATGATCAGGTGAGCGTGCTATCCCAGTGGGTCAGTCGGTTCACCTTGTTCTCACTTGGAGACTGTCGGAAGAAGCAGACGTAAGAAAAAGTGTTTGTAGTGGCATCACGTACTGGACGTATCACGTTACGCCAGGATGCAGGAATTTTGTGCTACAGCAGCAAGGGCTTCTGAGATTGTTATTTCAAAAATGTTGTGGGAATGTTTACAAATTTAGGGAGCACGGTTTGGCTCCTTTTTGTGAAGCTACCAGCAAATTCTATAGAGTCGTATGCGGAGAATAAGGCTGGGTTTATAGTAGAGCTACATGAATGTAGAAGGCGCCTCATCCAAACATTTCAGAGATGCATTTCAAACCGAAATATTTTCATATTTTTGTAGTACTAATCAATGGGATATGGATCCCTCAGGGATGGTCACGTTGTTCAGGATTAGGTCGTCAGCTAGATATTAAAACATCTAATCCGAAATATTTTGACAACATGGTCGATGATCAGTCTTACTAACCACTTTGCCTCCCCCCCCCCCCCCCCCCCCCTGTTCTTGGGTCACAACTTCGG